GGAAATTCGATATTTTTAATAAATCCAATACCTCCTCATGTAGCGTATATCCAGAAACAATTAATTCAGTTGAATCAAGAAGAATTCGAAATATGGGAGACTGAGATAGATTGTTCACATGGTAGACGCGGCGCATAGCGACAGAACAACGAATTAACTCAGATTTAAATTGTCAAAAATATATGGATTTGTTACATTGATGGGCCTCTCTTCAGTGATACCTGGCGCGCCTCTTTCATCAAATTGAAACTTTCTCATAGCACGTCTTCTTTTCTCAGAGCACGGTTTTCGCACGGACTTGCTCTGATGCTAGGGGCTGCGAAGGACCCTGAAATAACAGAAATTCACTAAGCTTCCTTGTATGATCAGGGCCCTGTTTCTCGAAATCTTAACTAAAGATAAAATCCATATTTTAGTAGATACTTCAATTTTGATTGGCTAGGCACTAAAATCAATCTAATATTATCCAATCAAATTACTAAAATCTGGATTTTATCTTAGTTAAAAATTCGTGAAACAGGCCCTGGGTGATTAATGCAGTACGTAGAGTTTGGACAAGGTAGTGTGGATGCCGACCGGGCAGAATTTTACCATTTTGAAAGGGTCTTCGTTATTGGGTCTTCGCTTAAGCTGACTTTATAACTGCGCTAATGATGTGGTTTACAAATAGGTTTGGTGAACAGACGGAGGTGGGATGATAAGAAATAGTAATAACAAGAGGCCTTGAGAACAAATAATTAGCAGATGAACCATGTGATAAATTGAAATAAAATATTCTGCCATGTCCTTGATAAATAAATAGCCACCTGACTGTACGTATATACATGAAAATATATTTACTGTTATTTACAGAGAGTTGATAAATCATACAGGTGGTCAGTTGTATCGTTAAACCCCCATTACAAAATAGCCACCAGTAAAATGAATACTACAGAACATGGCATCTGGTGTAAAGATTAGAACAGATTAAGAACGATATTATTATATCTCGTTGATTGACAACTTTCTTTAACAAATGTAGGGTCAAGCAATTGAGTTAATAAAGTCATTTAGCATGCTACAACAAAACCAAAATATTCTCTGTCCTACGATTCCCCTAATAGGGTCTTCATAATCTCAACTGGATGTCTTTCACTTTTTATTTCTAGAGTAATAGTTGACTATAGTTAGATAACGGTTCACAGCCCTATGTCAAACAGCGAATTTCGCACCAGGAACTATCATGACACTTAACGTTACTCAAAGTATTTGGTATTAGTTACGTTATTTTAAGGTGGGTTTTATTTACAAATGTGCTCTTGGCATTTGGAGAAATTCGAGAAAGAACATGCGTATCACTGTTTTGAGAATGGTGTCATAGTCATCGCTAAACAAAGCCGGGTGATTCACGTCGGCTGTGCTAAAGTCTTCCAATAGCCTCAGGTCACCACTAGGCTACTCGCAGGGCCGGTTTTTGGCACATTTGGAAAATTTCCCCAAATTGGGTCCCGCAGTTCACCAACTTAATATTTTTCCACGCAATCTGGCAGCGGGGCTGCCAGGTGGTGTATTAATCAATTACTTATTGTGAAGTAGTTGGCCTTAAATATGGAGGAATTTAGACCCAGTTAAAGTTATTCATATCCTGTAACTTCGGACCTCCCAAATTGGGCCCCGCATTTTCTTCAACCGTCCGTGTCTCCTCGAACCCGTAACAGGCGTATATTTAATTTCTAGGATGGAACAATCAAATCTCTTAGCAGGACACAGTACTTTTGGCTGTATTTTACGCCAGATAAGGAGTGGATTCACACAAACGGTAACCTTTATTTCTTTTTCTACGACTACGTGTGCAATGCGATGGGAAAATTTGTCTACTCTTCTTTTAATTCTAGTTACCAACTTATGCAGGGAACTGGTTATACCAAAAAAGCAAAATAATAAAAAAAAACCCAAAAAACCCATTATTGTCTGAAACTTGTGTCGATAATGTAACGGAATATAATCGTTGACTCCCCCGACCTATGCCGCGTGCCAAAATGCAGTATAAACATCAATAAAATAGCCTATATTCTTTTATCTTGCCAAACTGCATAATATAAGAATTACAGCATCGTAAAAGATGTAGTCGGAAAATTAACGTTCGCCTATCAATATATAACGTAGAACCTCGCTGTAACCTTAGCTATCGAAAATGAAATTCTTGTGGATGTAGCTGGCACCTGTATATAATATCCACTGATTTCTTTGACTAATACCTGAAATAACCTGCTGCCTGCTATATTAATGTCACTCAATATACTATATCTTACCATTTAACCAACCAGGCAAATAGAACATTATTTATTATATATTCAGTTATTCATGGACTTAAGCTCTTGGCATCGATGTGATGTACCATTAGTGATCTTATAACTTTTTGGCAATAGAACCTTGTGTATTTAAAAAAAAATGACTGAAAAGATATATTATATTCTACACATCATATTCACTGTACTGGGTAACAGTTTACGAATTTTGTCCTTTTTTTATGAAAATTAAAAATTTTGATATGTGGAATATGCATATCTATAACATACCCGTCTTCGTCGGTCTGTTTTTGTAGTATTTTGGATGCTATTGAAAGAATCTGGCTCGTGTTGGCAATATTAAGCCCACTAATTAGTACTTGTCTTTAACACATTGACGCTTATTCAATGTTTTGATTTTTAAAGATAGTTGAATTAATTAAATATATCAAAATTATCAAATGTCAGTCTGATCCTTGATCAAAATACAGCACAAAAGTTATAATTACACCCTAGGCTGATTCGCGACACAGCCAGGGTCTGCAATTAAAGGAGGCAAGTCCTTAAATCAATATCATCCAGTCTTCGACATTGCAAACACGACTTATCGGTCAATTTAAATCAACATTGATGTTGTTATCTTAACGTGAAAAGTTGGGCTCCTGATATTCAATATATAAGACAAAATGAAAATTTTAAAATTGTAACACGAATCGCGCCAGAATGCTTTTTGACTGTCATTTGTAATGAAGCGACTCAGTAAACGAGACTAAACATATCCCACAGGAGAATACTACCGGTGTAGACTGGAATAACCAGACGCCAAAGACTGCCATTCAATTTGGACTCTTCGTGTATTTCGCCGAACATAACTGATTAGAAATTACATTAAAAATAGGAACCATTGAATGTAAATGAATTTAGATACATGTACATTCATATTACATTATTATATGCGTTGCGACCCATCTGTGTCCATTTCTAGGTGCCAAAGAAAAGAGATTTAGCTCCTTTAAAGATGCCTTCCCGTGATTTGACGATATATTTGGACTAAAAACATATTTTCAAACTAATTAATCTATCAAAGGTTTGCCTCGAATCCCTCTCAAAACATTTTAATCGGAAGACAACTAATCTAGTCACTAGTTAAAATAGGGCACACGATTGTGGACTGAATGAGAACCTAGATAATGACCTTCATATTTTCAAATCTAAATTAGAATCTATCAGTCATCCGATGGAACCTGTGTGTGGCCCTCAGTGGTCTCCTAAATATGGTGGACCTGGGGCTTTGTCTCCAATTACTCCGATTTCAAACACGTTTACTACACATTTGATCTTGTCATTTAGAAAATTTGACAATTACGAAATCATCATCAGTAGACAGGACAATGGATGTTAATGCAGCAAGCGGATTTCAAGCCTGTGTGTGGGAGACATGCTGGCTCCTAAATGTGGAGCTGGCTCACTAACCAGAAGATCCAGGGATACATGTCGGTGATAACCAATAAAGTTCCTTGGTATTTTCCACCCTGGTTTCCTTGTGTCAGTGGTTTAAGGCGAAGGGTCGGGCAAGGACAAACGATCGGTCCTTCGGATGTGCTGTGTATTACCACTGACAGCACGTTATAGATCCCCAGACAGTAGGTTGTAGCGCAGCTGTTCGAGCAAAATTTCCCTTACAAATGAATGAAATGGGCCTTTACGTCCTACTGTTCTACACCGACAACAAAAATTCCAACAAGGGAACCCCAAGAGAACAGACCCCCCGCAATAGAACAAAACATTCGTCTCGAGGTCGGTGATTCCACTACTCGTGTGCTACTTCACGAGTCGAGAAATCCTCGCTTTCTGTGATATAACACAAACCACGAAAATCTACACAACACTAAAACCTAACGTACATCTTAGGAATGCGAACGGTTAACACATACTTTATTTTTCAGGTATTGAGTTATACATCAATCCAAGTAATAAAAAGATGTTGCCAAGTTGCATTGTGGGTCCCGAAAAATGAAGAATTCTTCAAGGTTAAAACAAAATAAAAATCTAAACAGAAATGAAATGGAGTTTAACGGCCTACTGTCTTGCTCCGACTGGGCTAATCTTTTATATCAAATTCTAACTATCAAGGCCTCTTTTACATACAAGCAAATGTGTACACGGGACCTCGGTTTTTCGTCCCATCCGTACGACGAAACGTTGTCCCTTGCCAGGCCCTTGTCCTGCACCACTGACAAGGCCCACAACAGGATCGAACACTGGGTGTCCAGATTAGCGAGTCAACGTCTTACGCACTGAGCCACCAAAAAGCATCATTTATACATTGATGATACGAAATATGATTTATAGTGTTAAACTGTGAGATAATACAGAAGAACTGCATAACAAAACACAGATATAACAAGCGATATGGTTTCGGGGTTTAACACTTTACATATTCGAGAGCGAAGAATGTTTCCAGCGGCTCTCCTTCGGGGATCCTTCACGTACATGTGGAACTCTGTCCTTCGTCCTTTGTCTCATTCAAAGTGGCACTACTACTTGTCACAACCGGCCAAGTGTGTGCATCCGCTGACAAAGGATAACTGGGCTTTAAACGTCCTTAAAAGTGTAGAAAGCTCAATTAGATAACCTTCCCACAGGGCAGAAGGTATAAAATGTACCTATACCATGAAACGATAAAAGATTTAACAAAAACTTCTATATAAAAATAGTAAAATATCGGCTTACCTTAGAAACCTTAAGAGGTGAGTGTCCTCCACCCTGAAGCCGAAATCCCCAGGGAGCACCTCCCGTCAGGGTTATATACTGTCTGTCTCCGCTGCCCATTGGGCCAGGTATTTATTCAATACACCTTGATTAAAATCACAGTCCAATTGGAATACTGTTTACTTCAAATTCATTACTCCGAACACATTGACTGCAAACAGCAATGTTCTTCTGAGCTGATGTCAACTGGCCCTGAAACAAAATCACTATAAATAATCAACGACAGTGTCGATCGCTTTGACATTCCTCTTGTAACAAAATTACTTTCAAATACTGAGATGCAATCAAGAGGTGATTAGATTCATCGTGGTATGTCGTTTAGATGAAAACTTTTGAGTTATGCTAAGCGAACATAACAGACGATGGTTGTAACGCGCAAATAAATTAGTTTAGAGATGGCGAACACGAGAAAATCTAGAACTGAAGCGGTAGAAAAGAAAGGAAAGAAATTCAACACTATACCTAATAATTCTCTCGAGTACAACCAAACATCGAAACATACAATTAGTATACAGCCATAAGTTTTCTGTTGGTTTTTGAAGGCTTGTCAACGGTAAAATGTATGTGTACTAGATCAATCTGATAAATGAGTGAAATTATCGTTTTAGATAAAAAGAAAATCTACAGAAGATATGGAAAGGAAACCATATCATCATGGTGCTATACAGTTGGCAACCACTTTCTCACAAACTTGTTTACCAAAAAATAAATCTTTGGCTTCGTTTTTGATGAGATTTACAGATTTCAGTGCAATGTTCATGGCCTCAGTAATGAGCATTTTCGTCTAAAAGTTATGAACGTTTTATCATCGGTGTATACATGTATTACGGCAATATAATCATTATTATTATTGTGCGATAAATGCGAACAAAATCCCCACTGTGTCTATTAGTATACCACAGAATAAAGGACGCGATAAATCCGTACTCAGCACATCGAACTACATGTACATTAAATTGATGAGAAAAATATGACAATAAAATTAATAACTTATATTTTCGAAAGACAGATTATTTTGACATAAATATAACTTTGATCGGATCATAAACACAAAACATAACAATCAGGCATGTTTTACATATTTTAAAAGGTATGCTGTTTTGATTTATTTTTTTTAAAAATAATGTATGTTGTGATTGTTAAAGCGTAATTTGCAGGAGATAATTTATATACTCTTACCTATATGCAGAAGTCTGTTATGAAAATAGGAAAAGCAAACAGTTAGTATCCGAGTAACATCACGTTTGAGAAATGATGGGATCCACATGGCTTTAAATTCTATTTTAATCAAAAGCATAGTAAATGTATTATCAGTAGGTATAAACAACTGACAGAATACATACATATAAATATACGGTTAACACAGATTAAATTCACGTTTTCTTCTGCCTTTAATATTTCACCGTCAACTGTATTATTTACATTTATTACTATTAATCATATAGGGGTGTCTTTAGTTTACACAGTGATTTGGGCAAACAACTTTGGAGTGCGTTAATGTCTTGTTGTATTCAACTATATCTTTTTTTAGTTTTTCATAACTTCTAATTTCTTAAACATGGTATTGCAAATCAGAGAAAATATACATTGCGATATTAATCACCCCGGTGGAAGCCTATAACATAAACATATTCACATGAAAATAAAGCTTTGTACAGGGAGGCAGCCAAGATGAGGGCATGTTGCTAAAGTTATAAGTCCCTTTCAAAAACTCTTAGACCTGGGCCCTGTTTCTCGAAATCTTGACTAAAGATAAAATCCAAATTTTAATAGATACTTCAATTTTGATTGGATAAGCACTAAAATCAATCTAATGTTATCCAATCAAATTACTAAAATTTGGATTTTATCTTAGTTAAAATTTCGTGAAACAGACCCCAGGAATGTGCAAGGTGTCGATGACATACTGAATACTTTGTGAAAAATCGACAGGATTCTGTTTTTATACTAACTGAACATTTTCATTAGCTTTTCATAAAAGATTTCGAAAGTCTCCAAATTTTGACCGGAGTGACTATTCATATGACCAGCCGAACAATCACATCAAGTTTGATAAAAAAAAAAAAACCTCACAAACTCTGACCTGTAGATTGATTACATGGTTTCGGTGCATGAATAGTATATTTTGTTAGGGAAGCGAATGAAATTCAATGCCTCATCAACACAATCCCTCGGTCATTTTACGACGAACATTATATTTATTTTCGTTATTTCGACGGTTGCTTGCACAATACGAGGTAGGATAATTTTCCCCCGACAGCTGCGTTTCCGCCTATAGTTCCGAAAAGAGTTTATTTACGTGCACGCCAATATGAACGCAGGGGTCCTTTCGGCTAATCCTTGTGCCATCAACGACAAGAAAACCTGGCCCCATGCCGGTATTCGAATCCGGAACATTCCAGTTGAGTATCCAGTTTTGTTACTGCTCGGCTATCATGCCCCATGTTTGCTTAAGTTGTCTCCTTATACTTATTAGGACCAGTCGAACAACCCCAGGACGGACTGTAAAATATGGGTGTATCAGTCAAGTGACTTTACATTAAATACTATTAGAAAAAATTGTGGCGAAAGTTATAATGTTTTGACTAACTGACCTCAATTTAATTGAAATCCCGTATTTTTCTCACCCTCCCCTTAATCAAATTTCATTATTATCTTAGTAGTAAAATAAATAGTACAATTGTTAAAATATATATAGTAGAGATATATAGGTTAAATAACCATGAGGTAAAATGGCTAATTTCTATAGTATATTTATATAGGTAGTCAGTACAATGATTGGTATTAGATAGTGATAAATAATCGGTTTGTCTGGGGATGTTACCTTTATTAGAATTCAAACCAATGGCACTACTACAGTAATGTTAACATCACTGACGTACTTGATAAAGGTCAATAGGTTATAAAACTTTCGCCAGAAATATAATACAGCCATTGATAATTCCTTTATCTTCTAAATGGCATTTACATGCAAATCGCCAGCATCAAAATGTTATGCTTAAAGATTCTATGTCTTGGATCTAAAGGCATTTCTCATAGACTTATAGTTCTCTTTGTGCGGCTACTGCGGAAATATTGCCAAGGCAGATTTCCACATTTTCCTACGTCAACATTAGAAAATCACTTTTATGAAATAAAAGGTCCAATACAATTTGCTCTATCTTCGATCGTAAAAATTGTTATCTGTGCACCATACAACCAACTTAAAATCTAATTTAACTTTCTGTTTCGCATAATGGCTTCAGTTTTGTTCTTTTTGTTTGTGTAACCAAAACAATGAGTTCAAGATAATTATGTATACACGATTGAAAGAACAACATAAATAACACCGGTTCATATCACACACAAGACTTATAATAGTAATATCTTCCTACAATACTGCTGATTCTGTAGAATTTTCATGTATTTGGCAGAATAACCAGTGTCGGTTTAACCTTGTGATAGTAACTAGGCGAGTAACACAAGTTAGATAAAACAGAAGATAAGTTTCAAACTTCAGGTACGAATCCTAGCTGGTCGTTTAGGGGCTATATGAGAACTCTTTAGCCAAAAGTGACGTATCCCCAGTCAATCGTATCAATGCTGAAGCTTTCGTTGCGATTTGAGGGTGACCTTCATATTTTCAAACCTAAATTAGAATCTCTCTGTCACCAAATGAATCGTCTGATTTTGCACTCAACCACTGTGACACCCCCCCCCCCTCCGATCCGGTAGTAAAATTAATATAGACTGGATTGGGATTTATTTCTGGATCAACTTTACGATTACATGCCTAAATTTTGAAAAATTAAACATTGGATAGTACAAAACCTACATGAGTATTTACCCCATCTGTTTCACCTAGGGTGTTATATATTTAATTATTTTTAAGAAGGTGGATCTCTTAATATAGGGCCAGGTGTTTACCAGGTGTTGAGACAGTTAAATAAGGTCTTGCATACAGTATATGATAGATGTATATACATGTTGTGCTATTTATTATAGAGCAACTATGGCGGAAATCATTTAGCATTATGGCGTATGTTGCCTTCCATGATACATGGGTACATGTTGCAATAAAATGGGTAATAAATCATTCGAGTTGGATACTATTTTCCATCAGTAATTTGCCATGCTTTATTATCGTGCATGTTTTAAATCATTTTTCAGCATAACGATAAAATCTATAACTTTCCCATGAAAATGGCTTTCAGTCATTATAACAAATTAGAGTCGGAGCAGTAGCACGTTTCATCTCATTTCATTTCATTTCATTATAAAATTAGACATGGTGCATGGGTAGCTCGGTTCATTTTTGATCAATAAAGTATCATTTTAAACGCAAAAATTTCAGAATAATTTGTATATCGCTATGATTTTTATGGCAGTTAAACAATAAAAATAGTGAAGGTTGAAATTACACATGATTGGTAAATCACACATAAATTAGTCGTTTAAAGGAGAACCCGTAAAAAATAGGATTGTTTATCAATGTTTTAACTTAAAGTTTTAATTTTAGATTGGGTAATACGACTATATTTTAAATACATTGGCAAAACACCATAGCATATTGATGTTGAAATGTTAAAATAGTATATACAATACAACGAGTACAAAGTTACACACTATAAAGCAAACTTGAAAATTGACAAGTAGAATATTTAGGAAGTTTAAAAACTAACTTATCAGGCATCTCTCAGTCCATGCTACAAGTATAAATTTATATTTCGATGGTCTAAAAAAAAATTAAGAATTAACAAATTGTACTGAACCGTGTGGGGTGGATTCGACAATCTAGAAACATCAATTGTCTTTTTTGATAATAATATTTATGACTCAAAATATTCCAGGTAACCTTCTCGGGTCTCACTTGTAAATTGTTGATATTATATCTATAGTGGTTAGTTTTGTGTTTAAAGTTGAGGGGGCGAGAATGACTGCCAGATAGCTTCGCAATAAAGTATATCGAGAGATATGTCAGAGTGGTATTATTTTTGGTTGGCGCCCAGCCTTCAGGAGAATGAAAATAGTTTCTATTTTATTTTCTCCTCGTTGGTAAAGCAAGATATCTACACAACTAGTCATCCTGTTTTATACTGAACATCTGGTATTAAAGCATCTGTATTTCCCAAATTGATTTATTGATCGGCTTTATTAAGATTACATAATAATCAACTTGTAGCCATTTATCAAGAACTGTACTAGAATTAATC